AGACGGCAGCCATCTTACAAACACAGCTAACTGCTATTTCGTTACACCTACCAACAGCCACTGAGTGAAAAGTTAAGTCCCACACAGGAGGCAAGCAGGAGAAGCATCTTCGTCAAGAGAGAAAGCCATTTGCAAGTAATTCTGACAGGACAGAGTGGCTGAAGGGGGAGTGGGTGGGGAAGAGGAGCAGACCCAGTACCCAGCCAATGGCACGTGAGTACTCTTGAGTGGCGGCTGATGAGCCAATGGCTGAGGGAGAGCATGGAATCTTGCCACCCCAAAACAGGATTATGTATAAGGAGAGATTGGGAGAACACGCCCCCACCAGCACTTAATGAGACAGCAGAGGGAAAATGGTCTATTTGAAACCAAACAGTCCCTGTGCCTGCTATTTGGGTAAGATAAAAAGGAAATGGCACTGCAGAAAGGCTTAGAACAACTACATGACCTAATAAATAAACTGCTTCTTTTTCCTTTTTCTTTTTAAAACTATCTTTAATATGATGTGGAAACTAAAATGTAACAGTTGTTACATGTTACAGTACAGTTGCTTTACTTGATGGCCACAGGAATAAACAGCTTTAAAAGGGGATTAGATAGATTCATGGAGGATAGGTCTATTAGTGGCTAAGAGCCATGGTTACTGAGGGGAAACTCCACATTTAGACACACTAAACCTATTGACTTTAGGGGGAGAAGCCACCTGATTCAAAAGTCTTTGTTCAATCAGCACAACTAATCACCAAGTAATGTTGATGACAAAATCACTACTGGGCAGTGGTTATGACAGCCTGGTCTAGACTCACTCAGAACACACTCAGAACATATGACTTTAGGAATCCTGCCCTTCTCCATGCTATCCCCCCTCCCCCCCCCGGTAACAACAACAATTATTCACTGGCAAAATACTTTATGGATGAGGATGCAAAGACTGAAGGGATTTGACCACTTCCTTTTCACTCAGCAATAGACTGTAGCAAGAAAGTAGGTCTGAAAGCCATGAAGGGAGACTATATCGAGTCCTGTGTAAATGACATCCATATTTATTTATTTATTTACATGATTTATATTTATGTAGATAAAGAATTCATGACGTGGATTGTAAATGACATCCATATTTATTTATTTACATGATTTATATTTCTGTAGATAAAGAATTCATGACGTGGAGAGGGTCAGGATCACACCACATATCCTGCCCCAACTTCTGCATGCCTCCCCACCTTCTGCATAGATCTTCTGCACGTATGAGTTTGTGCATAAACTACATAAACAACATGTACCGTGACTACATAAACAAAATGCTCCATGCTCCCTGCTGTACATGTTCATTGTCAGGTGATAGGTTGTTGCAAATCAAATTAAAAAGGATTAAATAAATAAGCTATGAAGTGTATCAGTCTGCTTTTCTAATGCACCAAATGGTCCCACTGGTAATTTCTGTTTGGGATTTCCATTCATGTTAGCCTTATGGGTATACTTATTAAGATATCTTTCCACAGCATATATCCTTGATTTCCATTTTTGTTGTGGCTGTAATATGCCATGTAGTGCAATATGGAATATAATTCTATAGCAGCTAAATTGGATGCATGTCAGCCTCAGGGAAACAGCTAGAAGTAAAAGGAATTTTCCCCATTAACATAAGAACATTCAGCAGATCTGGGTCTTGAATATATTAGTCATCCAAAGATTTGTCTCTCCTTCAGCCCTTCGTTCCTGGTTTTGTTTTTGTTCGGTGGGTTTTTGCTACTGAGTTAAATTCTCTCTCTTTTTGTTCTGTTTATCATGAATGAGGAAATCATAAATCATTATGAAT